GGCTTTGCGGCGCCTCTCCTCCTCAGCTGGGCATCTGGCACGGCCGCTCTGCACCCGGCGCCTTGCTTAGCTTGTGCAGCGGACACAGTTTTGATTTCCTGTCAGGACTGGGAGAATTAGCACCTGAATTCTCAGGGCGGGAGCAGGCATCTTCCTATAGTCCATCAGCCTTCCTAATAGCTGGCACAAATATTGGGCCCTCATATTGATCTGTGCAGAAAACTGGCGTCGTCTGGGCGTCCTCTGCCAGCCAGGGCAGGTGTGCCCGCGTCCGCTCTCAGTCGCTCACCTTTCTCCATCGGCTTTGTCCGTATAGATTTGTGTCTGGGAATACAGCTATCTCTTGGTCTTTGAAGTTAGAGTTTGTTTCATTCCCTCTTCTGTTTGGGGTAATTTTTGAGAGAAGAGAGGAACAGAAACATTTTCATTCCACCATTTTGAAGTAGGAACTTAGTGCTTGTCATGGGTTGAATTGTGTTCCCACCCACCACCCACATTTATGCGGTCCTAACCTCCAGAACCTCAGAATGTGAGCTCATTTGGATGTTGGGCCTTTGCGGTAGTAATCAAGTAAAAGTGAGGTCACGAGGGTGAATGCTAATTCAATAGGAGAGGTGTCCTGACAAAGGGGGGACATATGGACACAGAGGCACACAGGCGCAGAGGGAAGATGATGTGACAAGAGACGGGGAGATGTCCACCTGCAGGCCAAGGGGAGAGGCCTAGATCCTTACCAAATGGTCCTCGATGGAGCCAGCTGGGCAGATACCTTCATATCAGACTTCTAGCTTCAGAGACTGCGAGACAGCCCATCTCTGTGGTTTGGCCACCCAACACAATGCTGTTGTTCATTTGTTCCAATGCCCTTCCCCCTACTTCGTCTGCTTTGTACTCACTGTTTAAAACACAGCTTAGTGTCACCCACTTTCAGAAGGTATCGCTGATCCAGTTTAATTGAACATCTTGTTTGTAGCTTCCTCTTTCACAATTCCTGTCATGATGTGCTGTGACGATTCATCTTCTGGTCTGACTTCCACACTGGCCGATAAGCTCTCGGGGTCCGGGGTCACGCCTCACCACAGTCTGGCACAGAGGAGGGATCAATATGGTCTATTGAGTGAATACCTACATTACAAGCATAGCGTTGGGGAGAAGATGAGTAAAACTGTATTCTAGTTGAATAGCAAAAATTTAAGTTTTAATATTATGTTAAATGAGTATTTAATGATAGAAAAAAATGTGTGAATGCAATGGTATAGAGATTTCTGGGATTGAAAACGGAGACAAATATTGATCAGAAGTTTTTTTTCTCTCTTGTTTTTGAACAGAAACTTTCTGTCCTGCCTAGGGATTACAACTGGGTAAGCACTCATTAGGACTGCCAGTAACTTTCAAGTCTTCTGTTAAGGTGCCACGTGACTTCCCAGTTTCTGTGGTGTTTTAAATGACATTCTATATGTCTAACCACTTTTTATTTCTGAATCAAAAACAAGGACCCATATTCTTATAAATGAACAAGTGGTTAAGTTTAAAAGGAAGGTATACAAACAGAAATTGGGTTCCCCATTCAAATCATCAGATCTGATTTCAGGAAATATTTTTACTCCTCTGAATCTCTTGAACAGAAGACGTGCTCCCTTGTCCCTTCCCCCTTTTAGGTGTTATGTGGGATATTTATGATGAAGACTAGCTTTCTCTAAAAATAAGCGTCATCGAAGAGCACTCCCACCTTCTGTCTTATCACAGTTCCCGTGTGTTTAGGATGTAGACGAGAACGTCACAGGATGTTTGCGTGTCTAAGGTAGCAGGGTTTGGATATACAAGGCCTTTCTGAACACATCCAGAGCTCCATGATGCTAATTAGTAGTGTTATAGATTATACAATCCCTTTCTGGCAAGTGCTTCTTATTATTTGATGGAATGTGGGTTTCATAGTGACAGAAATGGGGACATGAGTTAAGAAGTGCTTGAGAAAAATTATAGTAAGAGAAAAGGGGGGCAGCCTACAGAAGCTTTATGGGTTATTAGTCCAAAGAACTAGGGCTGAAATATGTAGCCCTACTGCCATGATGCTGCTGGTGGTTTTATGACAAAGATGGAATTTCCTGCACGTTAGCTTACCAGGCTGGCCTCTGCCTTAAGGAGGCTGGGCTACAAATCCGTGTGAGAGGGGAACTGGATGACAAATGAACAGACAGAATTCTTGATATCATAAATTCCAGAATGTATGGTCACTGTGCCAGTGTGTGGAACCCTGACTCAGTGACTCAGTGGGACTCAAGACATCCTGCTGTGTGTGCTGGCTCTCCTAAGCCTCCCCCAGAGGAACTAATTCAGTCAGAACCATAACTACTCTGCTCCTTAATAGGCATCATTTTGCTGCTCAGAAAAAGAAATAAGCTTCAGGTACAGACTGGGGATGCAGACTTAGAAAGAAGTGCATCTCTGGAATCCTGTAGTATCAGTCACCAGGTGACAGGCTATTCAATAGCATCCATTAATGAGCAATAGACATATCAGTGCACTCAAGTCAGCGTCACTATTGCTTGTCTGATATTGACCAAGGAGCTAGTTGGTCTATTCTTTTTAAAATTTATTTATTATTTATTTATTTTTATTAATTTATTTTTGTTACAGATGTTTCTCCTTCTTCTCCCCTAGACATCCTCCTCCTGATCCCCCTCCCCCCTCCCCCCAGAATTGTTGTCCATGTCCATTGGTTACACATACATGCATATAAGTTCTTTGGTTTATCTCATCCCTCCCCTCTCTCCTGCCCTCCTTCTCTAAGGTTTGTCAGTCTAAATTGTATTACTATGTCTCTGGGTCTATTTTGTTCATCAGCTTCTTTTGTTCATTATTGTCCACAAATAAATGCGATCATGTGGTATTTGTCTTTTTCTGATTGGCTTATGTCACTTAGCATAATACTCTCCAGGTCCCTCTATGTTGTCTCAAAGGATGAGAGATCTTTCTTTCTTACAGCTGCATAGTGTTCCATTGTGTATGTGTACCACAGCTTTCTTATCCACTCATCTCTTGATAGACATGTGCGCTGTTTCCAGATCTTAGCAATTGTAAATAGGGCTGCTATGAACATATATTCTTTCTGATTGGTGATTCAGGCTTCTTAGGATATATTCCTAGAAGTGGGTTCACTGGGTCAAATGGCAGTTCCATTTTTCATTTTTTGAGAAAACACCATATTGTTTTCCATAGTGGTTGCACCAGTCTGCATTCCCACCAGCAGTGTATTAGAGTCCCCTTTTCTCCACACCCTCGCCAACACTTGTTTGATGATTTGTGGATGGCGGCCATTCTGACAGGTGTGAGGTGATACCTCATTGTTGTTTAATTTGCATCTCTCTGATGATTTGTGATGTTGAACATTTCTTCATATGTCTCTTGGCCATTTGTATGTCCTGTGTGGAGAGGTGTCTATTTAGGTCCTCTGCCCATTTTTAATTGGGTTCTTTGTCTTCCTTTTGTTGAGTTGTATGAGCACTCTATATATTTTGAAAATTAACCCCTTATCTGATGTATCATTGGCAATTATGCTCTCCCATACAGTGAGTGCCCTTTCCATTTTTATGGTTGTTTCTTTTGCTGTGCAGAAGCTTTTGAGTTTGATGTAGTCCCATGTGTTCATTTTTCCCTTTGCTTCTCTTGCCATAGGCATTGTATCAGTGAAAATTCTGCTGGTTGTGATGTCTAAAATTTTGTTGCCTTCAATTTCTTCTAGTATTTTTATGGATTCATAAGTCACATTTAAGTATTTTATCCATTTTGAATTTATTCTTGTGTATGGTGTAAGTTGGTGGTCTAAGTTCATTTTTGTGCATGTAGCTGTCCAGTTTTCCCAATACCACTTATTAAAGAGGCTGTCTTTACTCTATTGTATGCTCTTGTAATGTTGGACTATTCTTGAAAAATATTTACCTTATTTCTATTTCAAAGCCTTCTCATTAGAAAGAATACACTATGTTGACTATTTCTGAGGGGATTTATTTATTTATTCATTTATTTTATTTATTTATTTATTTATTTTGCATGGGGTAATTTGAGAAATAACAGGTTAGTTTGAGCTGAAGAAAGGTATGGGGAATAGCTAGAGAGGATGATCTGGAACCATCTAATTGTAAATGAATGTCAGACAGAAGGTGGTTAGACAGTGGTGAGTTATGAGTCTCTTAAAGGAATGGTATTTACTTTTGGACTAAGAATTCAACAAGAAGACTGTGCCCTTTACCTCTGTTGCTCAAAAAGAGAAATGGTTCCTTATGATTGCATCTAGTTACACTACATGGTAGACAACTTCTCTCTCTCTCTTTTTTATTCCCTTATTAACGGCAGTTTTCAGGAAAAGTGGCCCAACACAGTTCTTGGTAGGCAGTTCTAAAGAAGCATTACAACCTTCTTATTTCTGCAACAAATTCTCCTCCCCCAGCACTCCAGCAGGAACATGTTAGCATTCTTCACTGTCATAAAGGTATTCTCATTTACATGTTAGCTGAGTTTCACAACTGTTCATTGAGAAAGCAAATTTGTCATTTTGAAACTTTAGTTAAATGAATTATTTTCTTTCACATTCTTTTTCTATCTCACCTTCACCCTTGCATCTTTCTTTTTCTCTATTTTTTTGTATTAAATTTATTGAGTTCATATGGTTAAAAAGGTTCAAGTGTAGATTTTCATGGTACATGATCTGTATATTGCATTGTGTGGCCACCACCCAAAGTCAAATTTGAGGGGATATTTTAAAAGCTTAATTATACAAACATCTAGATTATATTTTAAAATATGCTTGTATTAGCCTTTTTTTTATATATCCCAAGGCATCTTCAGATACATGCAGAAGTCATTCAGTTGGCAAGTATGTATGGAGAGCTTGCTGTAAGCTTAGTACAGAGGTTGAGTTATTAAAACCAGATCAATGGTAAACAGACTAGTATATTATAGTGATGCTTCTTCCTGTGATTTTGCCCCCTGTATCTTTACAGGCCAGACGCCAGTCTTATAAGGATTATCTAAAGGAAGAAGAAAATAGAAAATTACAAAGGATGAAGGACGAACAACGTCAGAAGGTACTCATAAGGCTGTATTAGTCATTGCTAATGATGATTTATTTCCAACAGTAGATCATTTTGAAAGGTTTCTGAACAGAAATATTTATATACATGAAAATTCTGAAAGAAGAACACAAGCATTAGCACTAACAGGTGAGATGTGGGTATGTTTTAAGAGTATGGTGTCGTGGTGGCTAATTCTAGTCAAACAACCATGGTACTTTATATCATAAAGCTACAGTGTGGCCACTATAATTGGTACCAACAGTTCATGGAGATCATAGAACACTTGTGAACTTCTCATCTACAAAACATATCTGATGACACTGAAAATTTTAAAAATTGATTTTAGAGACAGAGGAAGAGTGGGAGAGAAAGAAAGAGAGAGAGAGAGCGAGAGAGAGAACAAAACATCAATGTGAGAGAGGAACACTGATCTGCATGCACCCCAACTGGAGATCGAACCTGCAACCTGAGTATGTGCCCTGACCAGGTATTGAACCTGATACGTTTTGGTGTATGGGACAATGCTCCAACCAACTGAGCCACACTAGCCAGGGCAACCCTGACATATTTTAAACCAAAGATATAAGCGTGGTATTTCAAATAGTGTCCAGGGAAAACTATAATGTATAACAAAGTAGGTGTATACATTCATGAAAGTGGCTTAAATATTCACCTAAAATATATAGGTAATAAAACATAAAGATACTCTATACGAGTATACAAATATGTGTGGCAGTTTAAAATTTTTGAGCAATAGAAATAAGTGCAATGAATGCAGAGCCCCCTAAAAAGAGTGCTTAAAGGGTAATCCTCATTAGAACACAAAATTTCTGACTAGGTAAACAAAACATTAAGTGCTTTGACTTGATGGTCATATTGCCTTTGATACCTAGCTTTGATAGGATCAGACGCTTCTCAGCATGGGCTGAGAATGGTGAGGAATACCAGTGGTTAGCTCCAAGGTGCCCCTGTGTTCCAGATTCTTTAAAAAAGCAAAATAAATTATTCAGCTTGTTGGAGACAATGTTTCCCCATAATTCTTATTTTCCAATTTTTTTTCTCACCATATTGGTGATTGATATGTCCTGTCATTTCTTCTAGGATATCTCTCAAATCTGTTTCTTCAATTATACAATTAACTTGAACTCCCATTTTGATTTTCTTGATTTGGTTTAATTTGTTTTCATCTTTATGTCTTTGCTACACAAGGTAACTTATTATAGCAATTGTGTGTGAAAATTACATTATGGAATGGACTACATGTAATATTTGTTGTTGCTATAATTTGACTTTTAAGTGAAACTCTCCTTCCAACAGTGGTAAATCTCTTACTCATTCATGGTTTCAACAGCATACAGCATAAATGATTGTGTTACTAACCTGTTTTGTGCATGGTAGGTAGTAATTAAATCATTAAAAGAATAGTATAAATTGTAAATTTAATTATTAAACTTCTATATAAGCTATGAAGAAACTATAAAACATTTTTATTCCCTGGTGTGTTTTTTTTTAAATATATTTTTTCTTTTGTCAAAGGCCATATTGAAATTCACAATTAGATAAGCAATTTACAGTAATATTCTAGTAGTTAGCAAGTAGAAGCTACTTGCTGGCTACTATTTTCAGTGTCTGTTAAATGATATGAAAGTGTTAATCTGTTTCTGTGATCTTTTACCAAGTCCTGAGATTGGTACAGAAGAGAGTGTTATAAAGTCAGTGTACATATGATTTACTTTAAAGTAACTTCTAGTGAATTCTAAATAGTGTTGTATAAAGTTTGGTGTATATTTTTGGAATGTGAAAACCATTAAAAGTAGTACATTTTACAAAGAGAATGCTTGACAGATTAGAAAATTAGATCTGGGATTTAATTTTCAGGTTGAGCAGTTATTTTAAACAGTGAAAATTAAGCTTTTTATTTCTTAATCTTGTTTTTCTCTGGAGTTAGACAAATATTGATACATACATATTTTCTGGTTATTGATTGAACTTATTTTTCTTTTACATAAACTGTTCCCCTTTACTTACTGCAGCTTTCAATAAAATGAATAACATTAGCCCATAGACAATTCCATCATTAGGGATTTCAATAATGACAGAATACATAAGGGTGTTTATCATATTTTTGTTCAATCTGTTGTTAGAAAATATCCACTGAAGGTATTCCTTGATTGGTAGAATCTGTCATTTCTTATCACTTCAATGATTTAGGTTAAGAAAATAAGAAAGACCATGTCTTTGGTAAGATACAGAAAACAAATACATTTATATCATTATGTCTATTCACGTGTCTGTTCATTCCATCCATTTAACAAATATTGATTGAATACCTGCTCTGGAGTAACTTGCAAGTAGATCTTCTAGGCTAAGTTGGGGTGACAGCACACTTATTTGGTTTTCTATGCCTCTGACTTTCACATTCTTCCATTACTCTATTCTCTGGGGATAGTAAGTTCTTCCTTAAGTTTACCTGTGATCAAGTGCCCTCTTCTAGAAATTCATTTATAATTCCCTAATCTCCTCTATACCTTAAATATATTTTTCTCCATTGATGGATACTTGTATTTTGTCAACTATGATGCTCACTCTTGCATTCTCTAATGAACAAACCAACTACCCCTTCCTTGATTCTGTTGTCCTCAGATACATCACTGTTTTTTGCTTCTACCAAATTAATAAAAGAGGACAAAGGTAATCTTACTGTAATCATATCTTTATTATCTACTTCATCCTTAATTCTTTGTGTTTTGATTTATATTCACAAATGCTCTTACTGAAACAACTCTCTAGAGGTAAAATCCCTTCTGAACATTGACTTCAGTAGACTTTGGGATCCCCACCTCCCTGTAACTCTGTAACAGTATTAACACCACTCTAAAGCTTTTCTTTTCTGGCCTTTCTTACTGCATTATTTTAGTTGAGTTATCTCAGAATAATCTATTTCTGTATTCATTCACCTATCCACCCATTTATTCACTCTATTACCAACATGTATTGAGCTCCCATTACGTACTGAGCCTTGAGCAAGATGCTAGAGCCTCAATTAAGAACAGTAGTCTACAAATACAAAAATTAACTCAAAATGGATCTAAGGCCTAAATATAAGACCTGAAACAATAAATTACATAAAAGAAAACATAGGTACTAAACTTATAAACCTTGGTCTTAGAGAAGATTTTATGAATTTGACCCAAAACGCAAGGGAAATAAAGGCAAAATATAAATGAATGGGATTATATCAAACTAAAAAGCTCTGCACAGCAAAAGAAACCAACAAAACAAAAAGGCAACCAATGAAACGGGAGAAGATATCTACAAACAACAGCTCTAACATAAAGAACTATACAACTCAACACCAAACAAACAAACAGATGGGCAGAAGACCTGAACAGACACTTCTTCCAAGAAGACATACAAATGGCTAACAGATTATGAAAACATGCTCAACTCCACTAGCTATTAAGAAATGCAGCCCTGGCCGGTTTGGCTCAGCGGTTAGAGCGTCGACCTGCGGTCCTGAGAGACCCGGATTCGGTTCCTGCTAAGGGCACGTACCTTGGTTGCAGTTTGTCCCCGGCCCTGGTCGGTCGTGCGGGTGGCAACCACTCGATGTGTCCCTTTCACGTCGATGTTTCTCTCTCTCTCTCTCCCTCCCACTCTATCTGTACAAAAAGTGGAAAAGTGTCCTCGGGTGAGGATTAAAAAAAAAAAAATAAATAAAAGAAATGCAAATCAAAACTGCAATGAGTTACAACCTCACACCTGTTAGGATGGCTATTATCAACAAGACAACAGTAAGTGTTGGAGAGGTTGTGGAGAAAAGGGAACCCTTATTCACTGCTGGTGGGAATGTAAACTGGTACAGCTACTATTGAAAACAGTATAGAGGTTCTTTAAAAATTTAAGAATAGAGACACCATATGACCCAGCAACTGCTCTTCTGGGTATCTACCTGAAAAATTTGAAAACATTTATTCGCAATGATGTATGCACCCCTATGTTCATTGCGGCATTATTTATGGTGGCCAAGTCATGGAAACAATCAAAATGTCATATATATATATATATATATATATATATATATATATATATATATATAATGGAATACTGTTCAGCCATGGGAGAAGATTAAATACTGCCATTTGTGACAACATGGGTGGACTTTGAGAATATCATGCTATGTGAAATAAGTCAGACAGAAAAAGTTAAGAAGCATATAATTTCACTCATATGGATGATATAAAACTGAAAGCAACAACTGAACAAACCAGAAAAACAAACACAAACTCATAGACAGAGACTACATTATGTTGGTTACCAGAGGGAAGGGGGTTGAGGGTTAGTAAATGGTAAAGGGGATAGATAAAATATATGGTAATGAAAGATGATTTGACTTTGAGTGGTGAGCCCACAATGCAATATACAGATCATATATCATAGAAATGTGCACTTGAAACCTATATAATCTCATTAACCAATGTCACCCCAATAAATGTAATTTAAAAAATTATAAGAAAAGAGTAGAGAAGGTTTCTGTCCTCCTGAAGTTTACTTTTTAATGGAGGAAATAGACAATTAAAAGGAGATGAAATAAAACATTGCACTTTTTATTCTATAGCAATTAATCACTTTGTAGTAATGCTGCAAAAGAAATAGCAGCATTTTTGGTAGCTTTAGAGTAGTGTATAAAATGCTGTTGATTGCCTACCTCTCTCCTAAAACCCTAATTTTTTCTTCAGTTTCCATTCTATTTAGCATGGCTCTCCATTTCTCAAATAGGTATCAAATAGATTTTGGAAATTATAGATCAGTTCTCCTTATATCCTAATTGTTTTTCTTACACTTCCTGTCTCCTTGGCCATTTTCATTGCATTCTGGGAGAAACCTGTAGCTAGATCATCCTGCTTCCTAAATTATTTCATATGTTTTCATTCCTCTTATTTAGCACATGCAGTGAATTTGTTTATTTACCATGATTGCTGATTTACTGTTTCATAGCAATGTTCTGCTTT